TTGAAACCAAAATGACATTTTTCTGGTTTTAAAGTCAGGCCGGCCAAGCGTATGGCTTGGAGTACGGTGAATAGACGGCTGAGATGTTCCTCGAATGATGCTGAGAATACAACATTGTCCAGATAGACCAAGCATGTTTGCCACTTCAGGCCCGATAGTACGGTGTCCATGAGACGCTGAAAAGTGGCTGGCGCCAAGCACAACCCAAAAGGAAGCATCTTAAATTCGTAAAGGCCATCAGGCGTCACAAAGGCCGTTTTTTTACGATCTCTCTCGTCGACTTCTATCTGCCAGTAGCCGCTTCGAAGGTCCATTGAAGAGAAATAGCGTGCATGACGCAGCCGATCGAGTGAATTATCTATGCGAGGCAGTGAATAGACGTCTTTCTTCGTGACTTGGTTCAACTTGCGATAATCAATACAGAAACGCAAGCTGCCGTCTTCTTTCTTGACCAAAACCACGGGGAACGCCCAAGGACTTTTCTAAGGTTGTATGACGTCATTCACGAGCATCTTCTGTACTTGCTTCTGAATCTCCTCGCGTTCTTTTGAAGCGACACGGTAGGGGTTCTGCCGAATTGGTCACGTGTTGTCTTCAGTAGTGATGCGGTGCTTGGTCAATGATGTCCGCTGGACCTTTGACGTACGCGAAAAGCAGTCTTCAAATTGGTGTATAAGTCCAAGCAGGCGCTTCCTATGAGAGGGCGGTAGCGTCGAGCAGATGTCCACCGACAAAGTTGTCGAGGCAGGGACTGTCGCGCCGTCTGGTTGGAAAGCACAACAATCCCCGGCTTGGTCTATATTGTCGAAGTAGGCAATTGCGGTACCCTTCTGGATTTGACGGCGCTCGTTGCTGAAGTTTGTGAAGAGCACTTCTGCCTGTCCACCAGTAAGCGTTAGAATGCCTCTCGCGATGGGAATGCCTTGCATGAGCAAAAGAGCGACTATGTGCTCCACTATCACATCTTTATAGAAAGGCCACCCAGTGGACACAGACACGAGGCAGCAGGATCTCGGTGGAAGCGTCACATGGTCGGCTATTCGCAAACGGCCGCGTAGTTCGTCGCTGCTGTCGTCGACATGCGGATGTGCGCAAAACGTAACCATACGTTGAGGGATGTTGATAACAGCGCCATGATCTCGAAGAAAATCCATGCCTAAAATTAGCTCTTTACAGCAGTCTGGCAACAGGACGAAAGTGGCCACGAAGCTAGAATCCCCAATGCGAAGTCGAGTGGTGCATTTACCCGTGGTAGTCATCAGCTGACCACCAGCACTCCTTATGTGCGGCCCTGTCCAAGGTGTCTTGACCTTTCTAAGGCGGTCGGCGAGTTCTTGTCGCATGATTGAGAAGTAGGTGCCAGTGTCGACCAGTGCTGTAATGTAGTGTCTGTCAATGAAAATGCCAAGATCAGCACGTACAACTTTACTGGCATTAGTATACGTCGTCGTATTCGTCATGGTTGTCGCCGTATCTTCTTGCGATGATAGGGGGAACTTTTCGATGTCTCGACGATTGGCAACCTTGCCCCCGGAGGTCGCAGCAGTTAGTTGCCCCGGCGCCGGCTAGGCGAACGGCCTCTGGTGACGTCCGCGTAGCTATGAGGGAAGTCACGGTGACGCGCAGGAGATGGAGATCGCCAGCGACGCGGTGTAGTTGCTTGGCCAGTCGACAGTTGATCGGCATCGTGGGCACGACGGTCTTCAGAGCGGAATGAAGCGGGACGAGAAAAGTTCCCGAACCCGGAATCGCTATGACGGCAATAGCGGGCAATGTGATCTGGTTCTCCGCAGCGGAAGCAAATAGGTCGACGGTCGGCCATGCGCCACAAGTCAGTTCGGCGAACTGGTGGTCGTCTCATGGAATCCCGTTGTCACCAAGGTACGGCCGCAGGTCGTGGCTGGAAGGGTGTCGCCACAAATGACGGTGGAGGACGACGGACAGCATCAGCGTAGCTCGCTGGATGTGGCTCAGGACTTGGCACAGGTGGTGTAACGGCTTGCCTCAACTCTTGGCAGATGATTTCGGCAACAGATGCGACAGGCGGTTGGGTAGGGGGAATGCAGAGGGCCCGAAGTTTCTTACGCAGTATTTCCCTAATCATTTGTTGCAGGGAACTTTCGCAGACGGCAGTGTTCTGAGCTGCAGCACTTACTACCGTGTGGTTCGGCAGGCGGTCAAAGTGTCGGTATCGTTGTCGCAGTGCGCGCTCGATGACAGTCGCCTCTCTTATGAATTCATCTACTATAGTAGGTGGATTTCGTACGAGGCCCGCAAACACTGGTTCTTTGACACCCTGCATTAGGTGACGCACCTTCTTCGCCTCGGGCATGTCAGGGTCAGCTCGTCGAAACAGACGGATCATACCCTCTGTGTACATGGAGGCTGTTTCGTTGGGTTTTTGTACGCAAGCCTCAATCAGTTGCTCTGCGCGATCCCGTCAGTCCGTGTTCAGAAATGTGGCGAGGAGCTCTCGACGGAAATCTTCCCAAGATTGGAAAGTAGCCTCGTGGTTCTCGTACCACGTGCGAGTGCTATCTTCCAAGGCGAAATATGCAAGGCCAAGTTTGTGCTGTTCGTTTCAGTGGTTAGATACAACGACCCGTTCGAACTGTTCAAGCCAGTCCTCGACATCCTCGTACTCTTCCCCATGGAAAACTTCAGGAACGCGAGGATGTTCAAGAGTCACCTGCGAGGGAAGAGTGGTCTGCGATGGAAGGGTAGCCGTGGATGTGGTAGGAGCTGCCATGCTGGTTAGAGGCGGAACAGGTGCGAACTCGGGACTTAGGCATAGTAGGCGCCGACTGAATCGGTGCACCGGAGTCGTGACGAGGGGCTGGGTCTCTGGAATAGGTGAACGGGTCCGAGCGAGACTGTCCTGCATCCTTGTAGGCTCCAGCACCTCCACCAGTGTCACGACATCAAAACAGAGGTCTTGCCGCAGAGATTGAGACACCAGAAGCAGGTCGATCTTTTTAATTAGAACGCGCAAGCGAATTCTTCTTTTTCGTCTATTTCGTAGTCCTTCGTGGCACATGCACAACTGCCATCGTCTTTCTTGAGCAAGCACGTGACAATACATTCCGTGTTGAAAAAACGTGTAGCATGCCGACGGAGCCAAATGCCAGACGTCATGTATTTTCCGATTTCAGTGCATGCTAATGCTGGTCGAAATTAGCCAAAGCCTTCAGCTACGGCAGCTTACGTAACCTTGGCCGCTTCGGTATGTCAAACTCCACAAAACAACAAAGCCAAGCAGCGTAGACGGACCATTGTATTGATATACAGGGTGTTTCAAAAAATGGGTCCAATATAATTTGAAAACTACAAAAAGGGGGCATATGCATTCTACCTGCGATATTCCCTTTACTTTGGCAGAATGTGTCTTTACATGTGTAAGAACAATAATTATTATAGTAAATATAGAAATTTAAAAAATTAACTTTCAACCAGTCGAGATCGCTGTTCGAATCAAATGAGCAAATTGAAGTTCTTCCTAAGAATAGTCCAAAGCCATTTTGAAATTCCGGAAAGGTGATAAGGTAGTAATCACCGCTGAGCGATGAAATCTGGCTAATTTAGCTGGCAAAACCGAAACCTAAAGGGTCCCTAAAGACAGTGAAACTGCAATGAACTCTTATGCCACTTTTCATCATTTTTCAAAGAACCCACCATGTATATGCAGGCAGTATGTGCACATACCTAGCTGCAGACTTTGTTCACACTGTGGATGATCATCAATTCTCGCTGAGCCCTTTGTAATAGGCAAGCTTTAAACCACTTGCTGGTTCTGTCATTTGCATGATGCAATGCCTGGTGCCATAGACCATTGTCAAGCACACAAGTGCCACCAACGGGCGCACAAGCGGTCATGGGAAAAGTGTGTGTATGCTGCATCAGCCGCCGTGACGAGCTCCCACTCCTCACGCATTAACTTTCCACTTGAACCTTGCCAGGACTCCTTAGACAGTGAATTTGGCAAGGTGAAACATATTATCGTGTAATTAAATCAGGAACTTCAGTGTTAAGCTGCAACAGTCCCTGAATGATTTTCGTTAATCGCACTGTTGGACCCGCTGAGCAGCTCATAAACATCACTTTTCTCTTTTTTTCGCCAGTGCTTCACGGCGTAGAGTTAATAAAAAAAAGATAAAACTTGGTTTGCTATGAAGTGCAGGAGCAATCTATGATTCGTGGATCTATTTGGAATCAATGTCCATTGACACTGTCAACGAGTGCAATGAGAGGTTCTGATATTTGAAACTACACTAGAAAGTATAGTCAGCATTTAGTAAAATAAGAGAAAATCACTAGACAGTGTGCACATCATTCGCATTATATATGCAATGAACAATAGGTGTCTATTAACCTTCGTTGGCACTATAACTACAGGTTGAAATAAGAATTAGAGCGAAAAAAGAAAGAAGGACGAGGAAGGAAATATACACACTATCTAGTGGTCACTCAACATTTGTTTGAACTTTGAAACTCAAAGTTGGTCAATACCACATTTACAAGTATGGTAAGGGGACATTTAATAGTCACAATGAATTGCATTCAGCACAATACAGCCATTACAAGTCACGCAACAGTGTAATGGCTGCATATGGCAGGAATAACCCAGTTTTATGACAGAAACAATACTTCACAATTAGTATTTAAACAGGATGACGAAATCAACCACAATGGCATAATTCAGACAGCTCTTAAAAATAGTACTTCAGGGCTACAGCAATTACAAAATTTGATTTTTACTTGCACCAATAAAATGCACATATAGCTTACAAGGAATTACAAATATTAAAATAGATAGTTTCTTTTTCTGAACACCCTGGTGTCTAGAATACATATTCTGAATATGTACATATTCAGAGTTTTGCTTACTTTTATGCCATTAATTCCTTGACCAACAACTATGCCCATACTTGATTACACCAGCTTTTACTATGAATTAAAACAGTGAATGAATAGAAGAATCATGACATCAGCATATTACTTACATTCCAGAGGATAGAGTGTAGCCACTGATCACGCAAGTATACATTGGCCGCCTGGAGCAGAAGGGAGCCCTCAGGAATGACCACACGGAGGCAGAATTTGTGACTAGGGTCCCATCGACACAAGGAATACACATCTTCCATGGAGCTGTAACTAACTGGCTGCTCCATGAAGCCACCAGGCTGCAATGAATGTAAACCACACAATTTGGAAAAGCTACCAGACCAGACATTTTTAACCAGTGTACTACTTATTAGTCAACAGCAGTTGAAATAACGCAACCATATGAAAGTGCCCTCAAACGAATGTCAACAATTTTGTTTGGCATTGATATTACTGTTTCACAAATTCTACTTCATAAAAAAATTTTTCGACAATGAAGCTATATGTAGTTTAGAGAGCATTTAGCAAAATGTTCAGTAAGATATGGTTTCACTGGAATTACAATTTTCACTGGAACTACCATAGTGAAAGTCATGCCCACATGACATGTGCAACAGCCACTGCTATTCGCAAGTTTCGTTGCCTATAGGGAGCGCTCAGGGTAGTTCAATATAATGCCCACAAAGAGTATCAGAGTTGCTGAGCCCATGTGCCGCCAGCACTGCAGTGTTTTTTTTTTCTTTTCATCGAGATGGATTTACCCTTTTTGCGGTCGCATATTATGTGCCAACTTGACGCTTCAGAAATGATGTCTTGTTTAAGGCGAAGAGCGACCTAATTCCAAGCACATTACTTGTTGTGGCGTGCGATGTTTGCACGTTGCCCTCCGCTATAGGCATGCCTCACGATCATTACGTTGTTCGTCACGCAAGACCCCAAGTAGTGTTTTAACGTTCTGCATTTATCTTACGTCCCCAGTTTTGAGCGGATATTTACCAATGTAAGATTTCGCTAAGTTATCACAATGCCGATATTGACACATTTTAGAAAAAAGTCAGCTTGCCACAAAGGCAAAGCAATGAACACGATAGCAAGAAATAGGAAGGTCACACGCCAAATTGCAAGCCGATCAAAATGTGCCCCGCATTTCTCAAGCATAATTGACGCATGAAACGTACTCGCAGGTACAGATGAACGCGAATAAGTGTCTCAGCTGTTACTTACTGTCTGAAAAGCGCACCCTTTTCACAAACGGAGACTGTGCAACGATTGCAGTGACCATTGCGCGCCCGGTAACTACAACAGAAACGTTCTAGTGAAGGCCCAATGCCAGCCGAGACGTACATGCACATGCTATGAGCGCCACTTCCCCGCCGCTACTTCGATACTTTTTAAAAAATTACACTGGCAGCCGTGGGGCAGCGTGACAGTCTACGGAACTTGCGAATAGCTTAACTAGCAGAGCATTCCATGCATCATAAAAAGGTTACATGGGTTCAACTATTACAGGCTGAAAGTTTCCCTCCATTGCAGTACCTTAACTGGCAGAGAATTCTGTGCATCATAAGAAGGTTACATAGGTTCAGCTATTACAGGCTGAAAGTTGCCCTCCATCGCAGTACCTTAACTGGCAGAGCATTCTGTGCATCATAAGAAGGTTACATGGGTTCAGCTATTACAGGCTGAAAGTTGCTCTCCATTGCAGTACCTTGGTTGGCAGAGCATTCTGTGCATCATAAGAAGGTTACATGGGCCCAGCTATTACAGGCTGAAAGTTGCCCTCCATTGCAGCACCTTAACTGGCAGAGCATTCTGTGCATCATAAAAAGGTTACATGGGTTCAGCTATTACAGGCTGAAAGTTTCCCTCCATTGCAGTACCTTAACTGGCAGAGCATTCTGTGCATCATAAGAAGGTTACATGGGTTCAGCTATTACAGGCTGAAAGTTGCTCTCCATTGCAGTACCTTGGTTGGCAGAGCATTCTGTGCATCATAATAAGGTTACATGGGTTCAGCTATTACAGGCTGAAAGTTGCCCTCCATTGCAGCACCTTAACTGGCACAGCATTCTGTGCATCATAAAAAGGTTACATGGGTTCAGCTATTACAGGCTGAAAGTTGCCCTCCATTGCAGTATCTTAACTGGCAGAGCATTCTGTGCATCATAAGAAGGTTACATGGGTCCAGCTATTACAGGCTTAAAGTTGCCCTCCATTGCAGTACCTTAACTGGCAGAGCATTCTGTGCATCATAAGAAGGTTATGTGGGTTCAGCTATTACAGGCTGAAAGTTGCTCTCCATTGCAGTACCTTGGTTGGCAGAGCATTCTGTGCATCATAAGAAGGTTACATGGGCCCAGCTATTACAGGCTGAAAGTTGCCCTCCATCGCAGTACCTTAACTGGCAGAGCATTCTGTGCATCATAAGAAGGTTACATGGGTTCAGCTATTACAGGCTGAAAGTTGCTCTCCATTGCAGTACCTTGGTTGGCAGAGCATTCTGTGCATCATAAGAAGGTTACATGGGCCCAGCTATTACAGGCTGAAAGTTGCCCTCCATTGCAGCACCTTAACTGGCAGAGCATTCTGTGCATCATAAAAAGGTTACATGGGTTCAGCTATTACAGGCTGAAAGTTGCCCTCCATTGCAGTACCTTAACTGGCAGAGCATTCTGTGCATCATAAGAAGGTTACATGGGTTCAGCTATTACAGGCTGGAAGTTGCCCTTTATTGCACTACCTTAACTGGCAGAGCATTCTGTGCATCATAATAAGGTTACATGGGTTCAGCTATTACAGGCTGAAAGTTGCCCTCCATTGCAGCACCTTAACTGGCACAGCATTCTGTGCATCATAAAAAGGTTACATGGGTTCAGCTATTACAGGCTGAAAGTTGCCCTCCATTGCAGTATCTTAACTGGCAGAGCATTCTGTGCATCATAAGAAGGTTACATGGGCCCAGCTATTACAGGCTGAAAGTTGCCCTCCATTGCAGCACCTTAACTGGCACAGCATTCTGTGCATCATAAAAAGGTTACATGGGTTCAGCTATTACAGGCTGAAAGTTGCCCTCCATTGCAGTATCTTAACTGGCAGAGCATTCTGTGCATCATAATAAGGTTACATGGGTTCAGCTATTACAGGCTGGAAGTTGCCCTTTATTGCACTACCTTAACTGGCAGAGAATTCTGTGCATCATAATAAGGTTACATGGGCCCAGCTATTACAGGCTGAAAGTTGCCCTCCATTGCAGCACCTTAACTGGCAGAGCATTCTGTGCATCATAAAAAGGTTACATGGGTTCAGCTATTACAGGCTGAAAGTTGCCCTCCATTGCAGTATCTTAACTGGCAGAGCATTCTGTGCATCATAAGAAGGTTACATGGGTCCAGCTATTACAGGCTTAAAGTTGCCCTCCATTGCAGTACCTTAACTGGCAGAGCATTCTGTGCATCATAAGAAGGTTATGTGGGTTCAGCTATTACAGGCTGAAAGTTGCCCTCCATTGCAGTATCTTAACTGGCAGAGCATTCTGTGCATCATAAGAAGGTTACATGGGTTCAGCTATTACAGGCTGAAAGTTGCCCTTTCCTTCTGCTATAATTTCCATTCTCTTTGTTACCTTCAATTTTGAATTTAACAATACAGATTGCATGTAGAAAAAAAGTATATGATGCTACAAACATAGTGCAGCAGTGATAAAATTCTGCATGAGATTACTGAAAGAACTGAACTTTCAGTTAAGCTTCTTTCTGAATCATTTCTTTTAAATTATGACTACTGCATCTTTAGGTTTAAGTTTTGCACTAAGAAAGCCATAGTTCCACTGTCCTATACCAATAATTCTCAATGCCTGTAATTCTCAAAGCCTGTAAATATGCAAAAAAACTAGTGTAAACCAATATGCACACATGTTGGTAGGTAACATGCACATATAGACAACACAGATAGAACCCTAACTTTGTTTCAATCATTTCAATCATTTCATTATTACAGTTACAAATAGTTATTTTCACTTTATTTGCATGGCTTCATTGTTCATACTCCCTTCAGGCATTGTTTGTGAACCAAGATAGTGCATGAAAAGCAAAATCATCGATGAAAATAGCATGTAATATGTACATTTCATCATTGCTTCATGCAGTTCCATAACATGCATATTTTCTAAATTAGCTGGACCGGCTTCAAATATGTTAGACCGGGAAGAGTGGATGTTCTTATATGTAATGATGGTGAGCTGGGTTCTTGATGTGACATCATCATGTGACTTGACTGAACTCAGTGGAATCTGTTAATTCATTCCGCAGCAATATGGTTTTCTTGACTTTCACAAATGCAACAAGTGTGACAAAGGAAAATGCAAAATAAATAGAATTAATTCGTGCCTGAGATGTACAAAGTTGCAAACATTTCTTTTAGTCATTTCTATAGACTGACTGTTACTGACAAACCATAATTTATACAACAATACCTCTAAAATGGAGCCTGTCTAAAGAATAAATTTCCTTAACTTATGTAAATGCATATAGCGAGTGCTAAATATGCTACTGCAAAGTTAAATATATTATTGTTTAAGTGTACATTAACTATGAACTTTTTTTTTTCACACAACCACCAGCTGCAAATGCAAACACTGAAAAACTCTCATCCACAAACAATGTATTTGAAATCACAGTGTCTCTGAAACACTGAACGCTATGGGTAAAACTTACTGCAACCGGTCTTTTTTTGGTCAATGGCTTTCTTAGCAAGTGACCCTCCTTTATTGATTAAAGTGTATTCTGCAGGTCCCTCTTCAAGGTTCCACGAGCCACTGATAAATTTTTCATGGTTCTGCATTCACCAAGTCCCTTAGATGGCTTACCTTAGATGCAGTCAATCTAAAAAACATTCATTACTCATGTCCATTTGTTGGTGCAAGGAAAGAGAGTTTTGTTGCGCATCAGAGAAAATTTTTTACAGCGAAAGCTTTTATGAGATCACTTTTCGGGTCACACGCAGTTGTTGTTGTCCGTCGCCACCGCCGGTATCCGTAACCACATTGCGCAAAATTAGAAAAAAAAAACCTTGCACCAATGACATAGTGGGGTCTGAAGCCAGGTTCGCTGGGTGTTGGCCCAACATTCTACCACTGAGCTACACCAGTGCTTGTGACTTGTCAAACTTGCCTTAGGCAGACTTAATGTCGGGAAAGCAATCGTGTTAATACGACTTATAAAGAGTGTTACAACAGCTAAAGAACAACCAGTCATCGCACAATGCGAGTAGCATAACAAGTGGGCCGTCCAATGCTCCAAACTATCACAAAAGCTTGTTCTTGTTCCCCTATTAACTGTGGCGCATACCTACTTCAGTCATAATTCCTCATCGATGTAAGCCACTGCATGGACAATGGGGCGAAATTCCTTGCAAGTGTTTAGCGGATACCACGCTTCTCAGAAGAATGACGAAAAATAGCATAGCAAATGCCGGCCTACTACCCGAAAGTTTATTATTATTGCCCTAGTGGGTACCAAGCAAGTGTGCCAGCAGTAGTTACCCAATGAGTTTTGAAAAGGCTCTAACAGGCTGCTTTTCTAGCTTTCGCTGTGACTGTGCTGCGCCAACCGCGCAGGCCTGGCATTTTTTAAATATATGTTTGCTTTTGAATTTATTGCATGTGAATGTAGTGTGAACCGAATGGAAATGCTTGCATTAAAATGAGGAAAGGGGGTGGTCATGGCACTTCATGGGGGTTGGCAGGGTTCCCTGGGACCAACACGCTTGAGAACTTTTGATATAAAGTGTATTTCAAGCCTTTCTTGTTGGCCAATGCCAACAACAGCATAGTCTAAAGTCATTTCTGTGGATATGTGGAGTCTAAGAATGTGGGCCAAGCTCAAAGGTAGTGCAATTTAATAATTCAAATAACTCAATGGCTTTATTCCTTCCGTATTCTTACTTATAACTGATATTCAAGTGCATTACTATTTGAACACCTTTGTTACTGGTGAGCACCCCAACTTCAGGACAAAGCTGCAGCTGTTGTTTTATTTCAAAGGGCTGCCATTTGAGTGTTCAGCACTGAAGCCAGTGACTATTCAAAGCTCAATGAAGGTGGCATAACTTTTTCCCTTTTGAGTATAAATGCGTTCTGTGGATGACAGTAAGTCTGTAAAACTATACAGGAGCAGCCAATTTATAAAGATATAAAAAAAAAAAGCTTAATGTAGTGCTATCTTGGCTGCTTCTTTAAACTCTGGCTGAAAAAATTACCATCTTACCCCACATCTCATGAAAGTAGAATGTGAGCGATTCTGTACCACGTTTGCCGTGTGGTGTTATTCACAACAAACGATGAACTTGGAATGTTTCATAGCTGCATGTGAATCCACACATTCATTTACCCATATGCAAAGATAAGTATAGATTGTTTTCATAGTGCAGCCAGAAAGTTCAGATATCTTCCAGCAGCTAAGTTGTCGCAATTTCCCACACCTAATTTTATTCATTGGTGACCATGTTGGGTCATGCTTAGGTTGCCAAGTTACACAATATTAGTAACAGCAACTTTGTTAAGCTATTGAGATGCAAAAGCACAGTTTCCTGGGCTTTAAAATGCGATGGCAAATTTTGGGTTCATCCCTTGTGGTTTATTGAAAAAGAAAGCGAGTGGACACAGTGTTTGATCCCGATTCATACTTAGAATGCTACAGAAAATTTCAACTTTATTCACTTTTCCAACAAAGTAACTCAATATAAATAGATGTCAGTCATATCTTTGTATGTGTGCATATGTTATTTTTGTACTGTTAAGTTGGGTTAAACAAAATGTTTGGTTAAATGAGACTGTGGCTGGTGTGCGAGGCTGTCATAACAGGTCCTTTTGACAAAGGCTGGGGTGCCAGCCGGAAAGTTAATATACCAGACATTTTTGTGTATTCTCTGAATCTCTCTCTCTCTCACTCACACACACACACAAACACACACACACACACACACAATTACCTTTCCACAAAATGCGTAAGGGATGCTTCTAGGGAGGGTCATCATAATTTACAATATACAAAGCACATTGTATGACATTCAGAGAACTCTTAAAGTCTTGTACATAGTGACAGGACCACAAATATTATTCATTAACTGTTACATAGCACAGTACCGCTGAGGCTATTGTAGGTGTAGGCACCATATATCATATATCAATTGCACACAAAAAGTTATGAAATGGCAATCTTCATGTATCTACACATAACAAATTTCAGTGTTCAACAGTCAAGAAAGAAAAACAGTGTTTAGATATGGTTGTTTGAATTTGAAATGTACAGTATTGTATCACAAACTGCACAGTACTTGTATCGATGTATATCGGTGCCCACAAATGATTCTATGAAAATGTCTTTATAGCTCTTGGAAAAACATGGCACGCCATTTACAACATAGATGTACCATTTGTATGTACTATATGATGTGCAAAACACTATAGCTACACTGTATTAAACTAAATTCAAATGCACCAGCAAAAAATGCAATGGTTGTTCTAATGCACACCGCTTTCATGCAATGACACAAACAAATTAAAAGTGCAACTATTCACCAAAATTTTAGGTGCACAGCATTTTGTGTTAGTGAAGTATAAAAAAGAAATTTAACATGAATGACAAACAAGCGTGCATGTACGCACACAAGTACACACAGCAGTTTTTTAATTCACAATTGAAAGTTCAGCCAACCGATTCATAAAACTTGTTGCACGCCAAAAACATTTGTAGAACATGCCACGTTCATTCTTCTTTTTCTTATTATCCTCCTGCCTTTGCACTAATATACAATGCTTCGGAACTAGAAAGCTCCATCATGAACACCTGCGAAGAGCCGATGTTTTTGCACTATTGAATGGCTCTAGCGCGCTTTCTAGGAACAACGTGTGTGCTCAACAATGCGCCAAATACGGAGGAAGAGATTGCGGACGTTTTAGTTTTGTTTCATTCATTCCGTAGTTCGCGCACCAGAAGCACACGGCATGCGCTTCGTGCTTAGAGAGATCCGGATGCCTGCCTACTGATAAGGTACATACCTTCCGCCTTTTTAGACCCCCTGTACGTCACCAACCTCTCTCGTGACGTAAAAATGTGGGCTCAGATAAAAGACAAGAAAATAGGGTGGGAGCGAGGAACGTAAGTTCCACAATGAGTCGCAAAACAGTAACAAAAGACTATGGTCGTTGAAGACCACATCTACACACTTGACACGCAAATATTCATTTTCGAGGGTTGATAAAAGGAGGATGACCTAGCCCCGGGTAAAGAGAACGAGAAAGAAAACGCATTAAATGTAACCAAGACCATTCAATCTCTCAGCACATGCCAGATCGTGCAATGAGCAGGAAAACAATGCTAATAGTAGGCAACGACGTACCGTCTTCGATGACATCTCCGATGTGCCGAGAACAACTCTGTGCGTCTCCCAGCGCCGAAGAAACTTGGAACTAAGGATTTTGCTGATGACAGTACGGCTGTGGTTGAGCCTACAGAGCTGCACGTCGCCTTCGTGTGTTAGTTTGAACTTGGGTCCCTGGGCGCAACAAGCAGCAGCAGCTGGCGGTGGCAACGCAGCAGCGGGCGAACCGGGTGGCGAGCCCGGCCTCTCCGCGCTGGTTCCCGCAAGGGCTGAGCAGTCACTGCTGTCGCTCGATGTCGAGTCGACAGAAGCCTGAGCTCCGCCCGTCGAGAACACGTTGCGGACGAAGCCGGTATCCGCACTGGTGCCATCGCTGGTGCTCTGATCGTCCGATGACAGAAACCGTCGCGAAACTGGGTCCGGGACGCTGCGGCTGTTGTTTGGCCGCTCCTCCATCGCTGTCGGAATGCGCGGCTTCACTCGCTAAGCAGCCAACTAAGCCAGCACGAAAACCGCATGCAGCTTTAAAGGCGACATGGGCGCCCTAGGAGGTATTTCGCCCATGATGGACGGACTCCACGTCGCGAAACCGTAGGAGCATTACTCGAGTGTGAACTGCACAAACAACTCGGCACAGTCGGACCAAATCGACTGCAGCGACTTGCGACTCGCTAGAACTCTATATCAGCCGGAGACGGAAAATCAATCGCGATTTGACATTTAAAAGAATTCAAGATTAATCTTAAGGTGACAGGACTATCCGCTATCGCGCTTTCTTCGCTTCCAGTATAGAAACATGTTCTCAACGTCGCTGCGACTCAAACCCCTGCATCGCCATTGTATAACAGGAAGTACCCTGGCTCGTCGCTGTAAAGCGAATAAGAAGGATATGACGTCCATGCGTTGCCCTTAGTAACAGCCGCGCTATGCAGGCGAAACCGAAACACGCGGAGCTTAGGCGAGTTGCAGAATGGCAGAAAACGCGCCGTCACATAACATCTATGCGCCGTGCTAACTAACGACAAAGTGGGGATTACCAAAAGCTACGCTTGAGCAGCAAGCGTGCGTTGCGCAATAATACTACACGTTCGGCACTGTGGAATTTAATTAAGACTGTGAGGACCATTGCCACGTTTTTGTTGGTTCGTTTTCAAGCGTTCCTTGTTTTGATTTCGGAACTCTTTAAATTTGAATTAACCAGGGGGCGAATGTTCTGCCGATGGTTTGTAGTCTTGTAGTGTAGAATATTGAACTATAGCACATCATTTTATATCAAATTCTGTTCCTCTGTCCGACATATTTTTCTAAAATTTCCATCGCCGGCTGTTAGGGTAAATTAGTCAATACTAACACCACGTGCAACAGGTAGGAATTTGCCTGCTACTTGGCATAAAAAAATATTATGAACTGTTAGTGTGGGAAAAAGAAGAGTGTGTACCTGCTGCTTTGTGATCTTGACTTTATCAGCAACAACGATATTATTTTTAATCGAGAACATCGAAGAAATCCACCACAATTTTTACCAGCGGCGACGAGCATGTAAATAAATGGAGAATGCATCATCACCACCATCATCATCATCAGCCTGACTACGTCCGCTGCAGGACAAAAGCCTCTCCCATGTTCCGCCAGTTAACCCGGTCCTATGCTTGCTGCTGCCAATTTATACCCGCAAACTTCTTAATCTCATCTGCCCACCTAATCTTCTGTCTCCCCCTAACCCGCTTGCCTTCTCTGGGAATCCAGTTAGTTACCCTTAGTGACCAGCGGTTATCCTGTCTACGCGCCACATGCCCGGCCCATGTCCATTTCCTCTTCTTGATTTCAACTATGATATCCTTAACCCCCATTCGTTCCCTAATCCACTCTGCTCTCTTCTTGTTTCTTAAGGTTACACCTACCATTTTTCTTTCTATTTCTCGCTGCGTCGTACTAAATTTAAGCTGAACCCTCTTTGCAAGTCTCCAGGTTTCTGCTCCGTAGCTAAGTACCGGCAAGATACAGCTGTTATATACCTTCCTCTTGAGGGATAGTGGCAGTCTACCTGTCATAATTTGAGAGTGCTTGCCAAATGTGCTCCACCCCGTTCTTATTCTTCTAGTTACTTCAATCTCGTGGTTAGGCTCTGCGGTTATTACCTGTCCTAAGTAGACATAGTCTTTTACAACTTGAAGTGCACTATCACCTATCTCGAAGCACTGCTCTTTTCCGAGGTTGTTGTACATTACTTTTGTTTTCTGCAGATTAATTTTGAGACCCACCTTTCTGCTCTCCTTGTCTAACTCGGTAATCATGCGTTGCAATTCGTCCCCTGAGTTACTCAGCAATGCAATGCCATCGGCGAAGCGCAGGTTACTTAGGTACTCTCCATTAACTCTTATCCTTAACTGTTCCCATTCTAGGAGAATGCATATTAGGGTTCAAACACTCGTTTCATGAAAAAAAAAAAAAAAGCCTCATTCAGGTGAAGAATATTTTCAGTGAATATTAGGAAATAAGTTTAGCTTCAGGCTTAGACCTATGTGGGTTACTAGTCTGAGCATGTTATTTGCCAAAAATTTAGTCATTTGTTCACAAATACAGCATTCCAACATGTTTACACACAAAGCAACTGTTGGCCCGTCACACATTATATATACAGACACCATCAACTAAATGTTTTATCAATTATACAATATTGCATATTTCAGTACTTTTTCGAACGAGCACATTCAACTTCGTTTACACTCTGTTGCAAAAGCCCAACTATTTTGCAACACTCGGATAAGAATTACTTAAAGTTCATGGTGTTCATTAGTGCCAAGAGTGTCCATTGCATTAACCTGCAAAAATGACAGTACTGCAAAACAATAGTACACAAATGAATGCACATAGTTACTTTGAAGGTATATGAAGACAAAAATTTTAAAACGTTTTTTTTTCTTGAAATGAATAAATTGTATTCATACGTGGCAATTTCCCATTGACAATATCATGGTTATCAACGGCATTGTGTCTCACTGCTTATGTGCTGAAACTGCATTTGAATGAATAAGTGGCCATATAAAGATATGTTTATTAGACCTGAGCGACTGCTATCATCAAATGGGTACCTTCATTGGAGTCTTCCCGTGTGCACTCACTCACGCCTTAAGGCTGCTGCTCCATTATGATCCGAGCCCTCCATTCAACACAGCAAATCAAAAAAGAAAAATCTTAGGAAATAATACACCAAACACTTCTTCCTAAAGTTGAAACTAATTATGGTAGATTTACCATAGCATTTTCAGGCATTTCACTAAGAAACTTATTACCATTGGATGTCAGGTTATCTTCATTCTTATCATTCAAACAAAGAACTAAGGATGATTTTGTGAACACTTTGTCACAAGCATGGAATTCATTACATTTGTTTTTTCCCTGCATAGCATTTTCTAATGTACTCGTGTCAATTTTTAAGTATTTGAATTTTGCCTATGTATGAATTCTGTTTATATTTGATGCCTCACTTTCCTGGTTGCACATGTCATTTATCCTTGTCTGAATTTATGTGTACTTCATTTCATTTTACTTTTTCAATGAGCGTTTTAATGAGATTATCATATAGATATTTTTATTACTTTTTCCCTCTCCCATCGACGCATTTCATACTGCATAAAATGCGTAACTCGCCGTTTGCCCAGATTATTGTAACCTCCATTTATGTTTTGTTTGGAGGACCCCCCCCTGACAGTTCCGATTTCGAGACCTCAGCAGTACATAAGCATACGGAACAATAATATTAGTGTACCGACAGTTAGGAACCATTACACTTCTGTTGCCATTCCTTGTAAGGGTCCCAGTGTGGAGTTTCATTTCATTATATCAGTTTCCATTATTTCTTCAGTTTATTGGAACTTCACCTTATATTCCAAGGTTAAAGATCACTGGTCAGTCACAATTACCGACACCGACAGCGTCATTGTTTTTGCAGACTGTGTGCTACTACAAGCACAGTTCTTTCTTTGTTAGCATTTATTGCCTTTAAAAATTCTATTTTAGCCATCCTTTAGATGCAGCCATTCCGGACTCTCACATAGAACATGGACCCTGTCTAACTGCCATTTATTTGAAACAGGGCACTCCCACCCCATATGCTCACTATTATATGGCTGTATTGCCAGTTAGGCAGTGTTTGCCCATAATTTCGAATGGGGATGTTAACACATGCATACAGTTACAAGAGCAAAATAGAGTTCTATACTACAGTGCTGCAAGAAAAAAAATATTCGGCATGATTCATTTGTTCTTGACTTTACTCTAGTAATCATACATGAAGAAAATACGACACAGTAAGCACACAGCACGCTGTATGAGCTGTTGTTTATTACAGAAATGAGCAGATGTCAAATCTTCTACAATTTTTTTTTTTATTCTTGCCTTAATATTCTTCATCGGAGTCCATGCCAGCCCTGCGCCTGTCAAACTGCAATGTAAAAAACAAACAAGCATTTACTTTTTTTGGTATTAGAACCACATGCTCATATTACATCACATACAACTAGGTCAAGTACAACGTTGACTGCTTATAACCTAAGTTAACGAAGTTGTAAAAATCTGCGCTTAAGTGGTACCGCGTTATAACCAAAAAAATTCTTTTTTTTTTCTGCTTTTGCCCATGACAAAAAGGCAAACCACCTTTCAAAAGCAATTTATTATACTTTTCTCTCACAGACACATTCAACACAGTCACAACGCAGCAACAAGTTCCCAAGTCCGGCATCAACGAAAGAATACCATTATTTTTATCTTGAGAACAGCGCTTCGCACAATGTCATCCTCGACAAAGCTGAAGCACTGAAGCGATTTCTTGCTCAAATTGTTCTTCGTGCAGTATTTTTTCCCTTTTGTGAGGCATTCTAACGCGTCTTTGAACAGAAAATATAGTTTCGGTGCCGGGTCAACGTCGTCCTCACCGCCCGACTCGTCGTCGGTTGCAACCTTCACACTACCACGCACTGCTGCAACAATCACGTCATCTGAGCACACTTCGTCGCAGACAGGTAGCTTTGACTCCCATGCATCGACAAATTCTTGGAATGTGTCAGTGGCGGTTATGAACTTGCTGTCAACAAGGCTGGACCACACATCATCAGTGTTGACAGTCTCATCGACGACACTGTCACACAGCCACTGTGACACAGTGAAGAGAGAAGTGCACACGATAAATGCAACAAGGCAAAAGACGGAGACTGAAAAGAGAAAAGTATGCTGCCGCCATCGCCGCTTCTGTCTCGCACTCCGAAAACATGCTCCCTCCTTCTTTCAAGGTCTCCCTCCCTCCCTAATGTATCTTCTGTTCTCCTCTGCTATGTTTGCCTTTTCGCGGCTGGTGCCTGGCCTCAACCCATGCATTCCAGTCAGACTCCCACTCCAGACATGCCAGCCCGGCGGGAAAGTGGGCTCCGTTCGCCGATTTCATGGTCGTGCGCACCTAAAAAGCCCGTGTTATAACCACTATTTTTCTACGGGCATCTACGCAATAAACGGTTTGCCTATACATGGAACTCTATGGGCGACACATTGGTAGTCAGAAAAACTAACGCAATAACTGATCTCGCACTAAAAGCGGTTACGTTATAAGTCGTCTGCACGGTATTGTAAAATCTAAACAAACTGTCTTGAAATAACTTGTAGTATCTCTAACTTGAAAACTAAAGTTAGGTGGCTTCTCGTAACTGTACTGAGTACTTCACAACTCTACAATTTTCAGCATTAAAATTCACAACATTAACAAAACTTTAGGATGCACTAAAGCTTCTAGCAAGGAAGTCTGAAAAATCGAACTTCAGAATGGCAGTCAACAAGCAATGGCTACACTATGATGATGATATATAGTCACGTTATGACCAAAGAGCGCCAGTACATGCGACAAAAGATTTGGGCTATGGGTATGATGTGTGGCTGTAAAAGGGCCTAATATTCCTCACTCTAAAGGTGGACAAACATATAGGGAATAAAATTATGAGAGTGACAAGAAATGTGCAGAGTGAAAACTAGTGGTCAATGGTTCTGATGATAAAGCTATGAAGAGATTATAGAGCACGAATGTCTCTCAAGCGTCCTTGTCTCCAAGGGCCGCGAAACATGTGCTTTGTAATGTATGTACGGCAGCAACAACCTCTTGGGATAGGTTGTTGTACAGATTACCAGGGTAGATCACGTGGAAGTTGCGAACATCTTTTAAAAATGCAAATAATGAATGATGTTTGAAAAGTGGATCTCTACCGATGAACATCACCGGGTGTAGAGGCATTTGTTCTCGGTAGGATGTTAGAAAATGCTTTTTTCGAATAGGATCTAATTCACTGCACTGTATCAAAATATGTAGGACACTAAGGGGTTCGCCACATTTCTTACACATTAGTGGATCACCACCGGTCAGAAGGTGTGAGTGTGTACTTTATGTGTGTCCGATACGTAACCGACAGAGTACAACTTCTGTACGGCGTGTTTGTGATGTTGGTGGCCAGTCACCACAATGGCTACACTAGCTGTGCCATTTGCAAACTTCAGCAAGTGAGTAGCACACTGTTGAGGAGCTTATGCGCCAGATACTACTACTAAGAGTGTGCCAATAGCAGAGCTTAGAAGAGCACTTATTAGGTCAATGTGCAGGTATAAGGAAGTTGGCTATGAGTGTTACAGCTGCAGTGCTGCTGCTGATGATGATGTTTGATGTTTTGTGGCGCAAGGACCATTTCACGGCCAAAGAGCGCCAGTTCATCTTACTAAAAATATGGACAATGATTGTGATAAGCGGCTGTATAAAGGCCATAAAATTGCTCGCGGTAAGGCGGGTAAAAACATACAAGTAATAAAATCATGACCATGCCGTGAAAGGTGTGTGTGGTGAGAATCGATGACAAGAGTTGATGATTATAAAAAAACGACGGTGGATATGAATGGCATTAGCACAAGTGCCTCACTCATTCATACCCTTGCGTCCAAGGGCCGTGAGGCAAGTGCTTTCTTGTGTAGCTACCGCAGCAAAAACCTCTCTGGAGAGGTTGTGCTACGGAATGCCCGGGTATATGATATGAAAACTATGAATTTCTTTTAAAAACGCTAACAATGATTTATGACTAAAAAGCGGTTCCCTACCGACGAACATTGCAGGGTGTAAAGGTATATGTTGTCGGTAGGGTAATGGAAAATGTTGTTTTCTTAGAGTTTCTAAGTGTTTGCATTGGATTAACATGTGAAGGACTGTTAATGCTTCACCACATCTGTCACACAATGGTGGATCGCCACCGGACAAAAGATATGTGTGTGTCGTGTATGTGTGTCCTATCCTGAGTCTCGTTAGTATTACCTCTGTATGACGCGATTTCGATACGGGCAGCCAATAACCAAGGTGTGGCTTGATAATGTATAGTTTGTTTTGTGTGTGTGTATCCCACTTGCTCTGCCAGTAGTCCCTGAGGTTTCGTTTGAGAGACAGCTTAAGATCAAGGGCCGGGATTGATATGGGTGTAGGGGCAGTGCTTTTGTGGACGGATGCAGCGAGCTGATCCGCCCTCATGTTGCCTTGAATCTCACGGTGCCCTGGCACCCAGCACACTACAACATGTTGTTTGAGTGTGTAGAGTGTGCACAAAATGGAGTAAAGTAAGACAAGGACTGGGTTTTTTTGTTTTTTAAGAGTGTGCAGAGCCATTACCACACTGAGGGAGTCCGTATAAATTACTGCTTTTTGTATTTGTAATTTTTTGATGTGTTTAGCCGCCACAAGTATCGCATAAGCTTCCGCTGTGAAGATACTTGTGTCTGGATGTAGAGGGCCAGCATCCGAAAAGGATGGGCCGACAGCAGCGTAGGACACAGAGGAGTTAGACTTGGAGGCATCTGTAAAAAAACTCAGGACATGTGTATTTGTGTTGAAGTTCCAAGAAGTATGTTCGAATATGGGCAATAGGCGCATGTTTAGTAACTTCTAGGAAAGACACATCGCAATCTATAGTCTGCCACTGCCACGGTGGCGGGTATGCTACAGGAGCCATTAAACTGTGTTGAAGTGACACTCCAGTGTCCTCAGCTAGACCCTTCAGGTGAACTAAGAAGGGCTGCCTCATCGAAGGCCTGTTTTGAAACAGAACAGAGCTTGACAAATCATTAATAGTGGAGTAGGAAGGGTGCTTGTTGTCTGCTTTCACCTTAAGAAAATATACAAAGAACATGCAAGTTCTTTGTAGATGAAGCGACCATTCATTTGACTCAACATAAAGGCTTTCTACGGGGCTGGTGCGAAAAGCACCCGTAGAAAGGCGGATGCCCAAATGGTGCACGGGGTCCAGCATCTTCAAAGCACTTTGAGTTGCAGACTGATAAACAACGGCCCCATAATCTAAGCGGGTGCGAATGAGGCTTCGATACAGATTCATGAGACGTTGCCTGTCACTACCCCACGTAGTACGTGACGACACTTTTAAAACATTCATGGCTTTTAAACATTTTGATTTTAGATACTTGATGTGCGGTACGAAGGTCAACTTGTTGTCCAAGATTAATCCTAAGAATTTATGCTCCGCATTAACAGACAGACGTTGACCGTTCAGTTCAACGTCGGGTTCTGAGTGCATGCCTCTCTTTTGGGAGAACAAGACACACGTGCTCTTTGGTGGGTTCAGTCGGAATCCGTTTTCCTCTGCCAATTTGGAGACCTTGTTTAAACCTAACTGAACCTGCCGCTCACACATTACCAGATTGCAAGATCTAAAGCCAAGCTGGACGTCATCGACATATGTACAATAAAACATATTGCGAGGGATGGACAGGCGCAAGGAATTCATTTTGACGAGAAAAAGTGTGCAGCTAAGTACACCACCTTGTGGCACGCCTGTTTCCTGCACAAATGTTTGGGAAAGAACCGTGCCCACTCGGACACGGAATGTCCGGTTTGATGATGATGATGTTTGAAGTTTTGTGGCGCAAGGGCCATTTCACGGCCAAAGAGCGCCAGTTCATGTTACTAAGAATATGGACAATGATTGTGATAAGCGGCTGTATAAAGGCCATAAAATTCCTCATGGTAAGGCGGGTAAAAAGATACAAGTAATAAAATCATGTCCATGCCGTGAAAGGTGTGTGTGGTGAGGATAGATGACAAGAGTTGGTGATTATAAAAAACGATGGTGGATATGAATGGCATTAGCACAAGTGCCTCACTCGTTCATACCCTTGCGTCCAAGGGCCGTGAGGCAAGTGCTTTCTTGTGTACCCGCCGCAGCAAAAACCTCTCTAGAGAGGTCGTGCTACGGAATGCCCGGGTATATGATATGAAAATTATTAATTTCTTTTAAAAACGCTAACAATGATTTATGACTAAAAAGCGGTTCCCTACCAACGAACATTGCAAGGTGTAAAGGTATATGTTGTCGGTAGGGTAATGTAAAATGTTGTTTTCTTATAGTTTCTAAGTGTTTA